CAGTCAAGAGACTGCGGCTGCGGGAAGCAGAGGAGCCCGAGCTGGGGCGAAGAGGGGTGGGGGGTGGGAAAGCGCACACCGCAAATTACTGGCTGTTTTGTCTCCCACTGGACGCTCCGTGAGGCTGCTTTCTCGTACCCCCGTTTGCTGGTCTCCGATAGGAGTCCAAGATGGTGGATCTATGCTGTGTTAGCTGTTACGGGACCTCTGCATGAATCTCTCCTCACTCTCCGTTCTCTGTCAGTATTCTCAGTCCATTTGGTGCTCGGCTGAGTTCTTTATCTCTTCATTTGATGTTCTAGGGTTTCAGGATTGTTGCATTCTCTGTTTGGCTTAGTTTTTTGGATCTTTGCTGTGGAGGGATGGCGTGGTGCTTCTGCCTAGAGTGCCATCTTGCTGGAACCTCAGGACAATTCTTTATTCATTGCTCTAGTGTCAGTCTACAGCACAGGGCCAGACACAGAGTAGGCATCAAAAAAATGGCTGGGCCTTAACACACATGTACTGTAGGGATGCTTATTAGCCTCTATCCTGACAAGTTCCTGTCTTAGACCAGTTACTGCCTTTCATAGCCCTTGCCTTCCTCACCAGAACTCACAGCTTTACTGGAAAGAAAGGCTGGGCTGTTGGCCCATGTGAGTGTTACCAGTCTTGGTGTGTAAACTTCAGACCTTCCTTACTGAAGGGCCAGGATTACATTCTCTTTCTCTTGGCATCCGGTAAGGCAACTTTAATCATCACGTCTCTTTATTATATCTTTCCATTAAAACAGTGATGGTTGACCCTAAGAAAAAGAATGCCTCAGATTTGAATCACCAGGTGTGGGTCCTTCAGAGTCAGAACATTGTGGCAGTTCCATGGAGTGACAATGTGGTTCCAGGTAAGTGGTCATCCTGTGGCTGCTCTCTCCAAGGCAGGCCCTCTCATGGAAGAAGCTGCAATGCTGGTACCCAGGCCCTTGTTAAAGTGGGGCTTTACAATAGAAGCCACCTGGAGGAGGGATGGTTTTATAGCTGTCTGGAAATGGAAGTGTAGGAGAGGTTTGTCTTAGACTAAAGAAATCAGAGATGGTAAGGGAGCCTCCTGGGGACTAAGAGAGCTGCTGTGAGTGATTGGAAAGCCTATCCTGTGGAAGAGGAGCAGCTTGTTCTATGCGACTTCAAAGTCTCTTAAAAGGAGTACAGGTAGTCCCCGACTTACAAAGTATTTGAGTTAGGGCAAACTGCACTTACGATGTCTGTTTTTTTTTGTACATTTTTATGGTTAGTAATACTTACTACATACAATGTTGCAGCTCATAATTTGCTGATGTTATCATTCTCATACCAATCCTTAAAGAGAAGTAAAGATGAGATTTATGAAAATACTGATAGTTAAAAGCAATAATAATAAAAAAAAAAGGTATTCGACTTATGTCAGAATCAATTTACAACAGAGTTGATAGAACAGAACCTTGTTGTAAGTTGGGGACTAACTGTAAATGGGTGGATGCTAGAGGGAGGCAACTTTCAACACTATGTTAGGCAAAACTTGCTAATTCATGGACAGAACTCTCCAAAGATGAGAAGTCCTGCCTGGGATGGGGAGCTCCCCTCTTCAGATGTTCAAGTAGAGCTGTGACAGTTTCTAGGGCATGGACTGCCACATGCAGCAAATGGATGAATTATTGAATATAGTGGCTGGATATTTGGTGGGACCAGTGTAGCAGGGATAATACTCTTAAGGTGTCTTCTAGCCTCAGTTGGAAGATATTACCCTGGTAAACCAAAGGATCTTTTCTTGACTTCAAAAGGAAACTGATAATGTCTCCTCCTTTTAAAGTTATAGTCACTGTCACTCTTATCCCATGCAAGTATCCAGAGTCTTTTGAGAAAGACAGAGGGTCTCTTATTTGGGAATAAAGAATCCAGAGATGTGTCTGTCTTGTGAGGATGTTGGAGGGCAGCCCACACTGAAACTGAAGGTGAGTGACTAAAAAAAAAAAAAAAAAAAAAAAGTAAAAAATGCCAATTTCTTTTACAAGAAATTTATTTTGTAGGAAATCTAATTTTAGAATTAAAAAAGAAATACTGTTATTTTCCTCAGCATATTTATTTCTAGCTCTTTTCAAGTTATGTGTATGCAGTCAGCTTTTCTTTGAGGACTCCTTCCTTTCTTCAGCTTGGGGACATTCTCAAGCATTGTTTCTTCAAGTACATTCTCTTCTTCACTCTGCTTTATCTCTCCTTTTGGAATTCCTATTCATCAGTTATTGAATCTCACTACTAGATCTCACTTCAATATTCAACTTTTGTTTTCATACTTTCCATCCTTATATTATTATTTTTGATATGTTCTAGGAGAATTTCTTGGTTCAGTCTTTCAGTTCATGATTAACATTTTCAGCCTCGTCCTGTCTGCTAAATCATCTTTCTATCGTACTTTCTTAAATTTCAATCTTTACTATTTTAATTTCCAAGTTCTCTAGTTGATTCATTATGTAACTTCCTGTGCTTCTTCCATACACTTCAGTTTAATTCAATTCAATTCAACAAATAATGTGGGTATGTATTGGCTCCAGCATTGTTGTGGGTACTTGGAATATATCAATGCACCGAATGGCAAAGAGCCCTGCCATCCTGGAGTGGATTCTCGTGGGAGGATAGAAATGATAAACCATAGATATAATGACAGGTAAATATGTGGTAGATTAAAAGGTATTACATCCTTGCAAAAGAATAATTAGAGCAAGGAAAAGAGACTGGCAGAGGTGAACTCAGGATGCAGTGCTAAATCGTGCAGTAGGCTTCATTGAGAAGCTAAGATTTTAGTAGAGAGTAGAAGGAGGCAAGGGAGTTAGGCAGCATGGTATCCAGAAAGAACATGTTCAAGGACTAGTGAAGAAACCTGTTTGGCAGGAGTGAGGTTAAGAGGAGTTCAGTCAGTTAAAGACAGGGGTTGGGGGGGCTATAGATTGAATTGTGTACCTCCAAAATACGTGTTGGAGTCCTAACCCCTATATGTATGGATGTAATCCCACTTGAAAATAGGGTTGTCTTTGTTATGTTAATAAGGCCCTGTCATAGGACGTGTCTTAAACCTAATGACTTTTGAGGTATAAAAAAAGCAGATTAGACACAGAGATAAGCAAGTACAAACGGGGGAAAGACAGATGCCACATGGAGATCACCAGGAAACAAAAGAACACCAGGGAAAGAGAAGCGGAGACAAGGATTTTCCCCCAGAGCAGACAGAGAGCCTTCCCCTAGAGCTGGCTCCCTGAATTCTAACTTCTAACCTCCTAATCTGTGAGAAAATAAATTTCTGTTCTTTAAAGCCACCCACTTATGGTATTTCTGTTACAGCAGCACTAGGAAACTAAGACAGGGGGCTGGTCATGAAGGGTCTTGTCTGCTGTTGAAAGACTGCCTTTTAATCTGAGTGAAATGGGAAATTATTGGAATATTTTGAACAGAAGAGTGGACCTGAATGGATTTACATTTAAAAACGATCACTCTGGCTGCTAGTTGAGAATAGATTGTGGGGGACAATGGTGAAAGCTGTGAAGGAGGCTTTTGAGATTATGTAGGTGTGATTTGATGGACTAGAGGGTAGCAGTGGAGGTGGGGAGAAGTGGAACAGATTCTGCATATATTTTGAAGTTGAGGACACAGAATTTGCTTACAGAGTGAATGTGGAATGTGAGAGTAAGAGAAGGGTCAAGGATTGCTCTAAGGATGGAGTTTTCATCATCTGCAAAGGCGTGGAAAAGGGTTTTTGAGGACGATCAGGAGTTCAGCTGGGACACTTTAAGTCTGAGAGGTCTGTTAGATATCTAAGTGTGGAAATGTCAATTAGGCTATAAAATATACAAATCTGGAGCTCAGGAAGGTGGTCTGAGGTTAGAGATATGAATTTGGGAGTTATCAAGGTATAGACGGTATTTAAAGTCACAAGTCTGGATAAAATCACCAAGATAGTAGAAGTGTGTAGATAGAAAAAGTAGATAGTAGCAAATGCAGAGCTGAGGATGAAGCCTTGGGATTGCAACGTTAGGGATTAGGGAGAAGACAAGGAGCCAGCAAATTGCTATGAGAAGAAGCAGCAAGCAAGGTAAAATGAAAAGTAGTTGAGTGTGGTATCCTGGAAGCCAAGGGAGGAAAGTGTATGAGGGAGGAGCCGTGTCAAGTGCTGCTGACTGGTCAATAAGATGAAGACTGAGAATTATATTTTCAGCTCTGTCCTGTCTGCAAAGACACCCTTCTGTTGTGTTCTAGTCCTTAGACAAGGACTGAGAGTTGACCATTGCTTTTGGCAATGTAGAGGTCATTGGTGATGTTGATGAGAGGAGCATTGGTGCAGTGGTGGGGAAGAAAGCCTGCATAGAGTTAGTTTAAGAGAAGAATTAGAGGAGAGAAGTTATACAGCAAATACAGGCAACTATTTCAAGGAGTTTTCTACAAAGGGGAACTGGTGGTGGTGGTGGGTAGTCAAAATAGTTTTTTTTTAAGATGGTAGAAATGAGAACAAATGTTATGTTGATGGGAATGATTGAGTAGAAGACGCAAAAGTAATGGTGTATGAGAAAGAAAGAATGGCTGAAGGAATGTCGTTAAGTAGGAGAGTACAGATGGGATTTGTTATCCAGGTGGGGAGACTGGCTTCAGTGGAGATTGAGTCTGGCTCGTCTGTCTGGGGTGGTGAGACATGGATGTGGGTGAAGATGCTGCTGGGGATACATGTTATGGTGTTGTTTGTGGAAGTTCTCTTTTAGTTGTTTCAATTTTCTCAGTGAGTAAAAAGTTGAAAATGAGGATAGGGGAGGAGATATTGGTGTTTGAAATAAGAAAGTGTTCTTTCATTTATTGAACAGTCAACAAATGTCTATTGAATAGAAAACCAGGGACTTTTCTATGTGTTGAGGAATACAGTGATAAACATTCTGACAATAATTATATAATCAATAGATAAACATGCTAAGTTCATATGGTGATTGGAACTAATGTAGAAAATAACCTGACAATGAGAGAGTGATGTGTGGTGGTAGTGGTATTTAGAGGTCTACTTTGGCTACGGTGTTCAGTGCTGTTCTACTGAAAGAGGGGACATTGAAGCAAGACCCGAGTAATGAGAAAAAGGCTGTCATGGGAAAATGTGGAGGCAGTGTCCAGGTAGAGTGAGAGCAAGAGCCAGGACCCTGGGGGCAGGAACACGTTGGTCTCTTTGAAGGAAAGAAAGAAGATAGGTGTGGCTACAGCACAGTGAGCATGCAGGACAGTGGTGGAGGTAAGGGTAGCAAGGTAGGCAAGAGCTGGATATTGTAGACCCTGTAGACTTTGTCAAGAAGTTTAGCTTTTATTGTAATTTCAATAGAAAATCGTGGAAGAGTTTTAAACCTGGAGGTAACACGATCTTATTTTTTATCAGCTTAATGGTTGCTCATCTGCTTTGTGGAGAATAGATTGTGGGGAAATAGAGTAGGGTCAGGGAGAACAATTAGAATATTATCTCAATCGTCCAGGCAGTGGCCTGGATTGGGGTTTGGCAATGGGGGTTGCAAGAAGTGGCTCAATTTATCAAGAAATTCCCAAATATTTTGGAAATAGTCCTCAGGACTTACTGCTGACTTTGATGTTGGAAGGGGGATCAAAGAAAGAGATGCCAAGGATGAGTCTTGGTTTTCTGACTGCCCTCATAATTAGATGAATTAAGTGGAAGTCATTAACTGAGTAAAGGAATTCTATGGGAGAAGAACTCCTCTCACCCAGGGTGAAAGAGAGCCAACTGATGGACCATTCCTGTGTCTCTCTGAAGATTTTGCTTATACATAATTTACACTGAAATACTTATTTTACCTAAATATATAATATATACTATAAAAATGTTCTTCTGTGTGCAATACAGAAGTAATTTCTTGATTTCTTTATTTACTATGTTCCTTTTAGTGCAAGTCCCTTGATTTGTTAAGCCTTGTTGTGTCTTTTTTGTGGTATTGACCTTTCCATGTTTGGTCAGAGCCTCCACCTGGCTTTCCTTTGCCATGACAGTTGTGTTGCAGGGGGATGCATGTTCTTGAAGTTTTAGTAAGGGAAGTCCTTGGCTTACATCTTCAAACTTGTATCTTTTTGTTTTTCTAAAAGATCCCTTCAGCCTCTTTCTTGTATGAGGAGAGTTTCAGTTCATTGTTCAAGTGTGGCCACTTGTTCATTCACCTGTCCTTTGTATCTTTTCCTACCTTGGCTCTGGATTTGAGGGTGGGTGCTGGGAATGTGAGATTTTGTGTGTGCTCTATCTGCTGCTTTTTTGAAGTATGTTTTTCTAGGCTTGCTCTACTAGACGGAGAAGGCTTTCTCCAACTTTGGAACATTTATTGGTGATGTGCAAGTAACTTTGAACAACTCTAACAGCTTCAGCTTCTCTTCTTGGGTATTCCCTGTCATATTTCAGGTGGAGAAGATACTGGATCTGTACAACCAAACTGCACCTGTGAACCACAACAAGAAAGGCAAGACCTCCACCTTTGTGTCTGCGGCCGTCCCTGGCTGGTTCATCGCCTCTTCAGAAATAGGCCAGCCCATCTTCCTCACTTCGGAACTAGGGAAAACATACAACACTGAGTTTGATTTAGCTACAGAGGCTTGAACTCAGCCTAGAGGTAGCAGCTTGGTAAGAGGTCTTTATCTTCAATCTTCTAATTCCCAGTATGTTTTCATCTATATCATCTCAGCGTTATTTTCACACCCATGTCAAGAGGTGAGCAGGGCTGCCATTATAATCTTATTTTGTGGATGAAGAAGAAATGACTTCATGGTAACTGAAGAATAGAATGTGGGCTCAGAACCAGAAGGGATGGAATGGCATATGGTTCTCCTCTCAAGCTGAAGTTGTCCAGATCATAGTCATCTGTACTAGTGACTTTAGGACCAAAAGATAATGGGGCCTTCTCCTGAGGTGTGTATGAAGAAGCTTCAAAGCGCAAAAGAATCTTACCCAAGATTGTGTGACTAGCATGAAGGTGATCTTTGTTTTTGTTTTGTTTTATTTCCTTTTTAGATTATATCTTCTATAGTATTTATATGTTGCCAGTGTTTCTCAATGTGTGTTATATACCAAGACCTTTTAAAGGAAAATAATTCTTACATTAAATTATTTTTGTCCCAATTTTAATGTATACACAAAGCCAAATATTCATATGTTTATATAAAAACAAAGCCAAAACTGATGTAAAATGAAATAAAAGAAAACAAAGCATAAAATGAAATTAGCAGCAGTAGTTAAATGAGGACATCACAGTGGTTAAGTCTGGGACTGGGGTGTGATGGTTAAGATTGTATGTCAACTTGGCTAGACCATTATTCTCAGTGTTTTAGCAGCTGTATAATGTTGTGATCACCCCCATGATGGAATCTGCTGAGTGGTACTGGCAGAGGCGGGGCCTGTGGTAGCTCACCGCCCTCTCAGTTTCATCTCTCTGACTTCCACCGGTTACCGTCTGCCTGCTCACTTTGCCAAGGTTTTTGGCTTTTTCCAGACTCAGCAGCTGCCTCTTGTTGTCTCACCTCCAGTTCGTGGGACTTCAGCTAGCAGCTTACCTGTTGATCTCAGAATTCCTAGAACTTCTCAGCCTGCAAGCAAGAGTCCGGTTCCCTCACCCGCTGACCTTGGGTTTGTCAGCCCCTGCAGCTACATGAATCAGGAGAAACCTGATTGTCTTGTTTGCTGATCTTGGAATTCACTGACCTTCACAGCCTGTGAGCGGGAGCCCTTCTCCGACCTGCCAACCTTGGGTTCACCAGCTTCTGTGGCTACGTGAACTGGGAGAGGCCTCTACCCTGATCTGTGGACTTGGGACGCTTTAGCCTCTACAATTGTGTGAGGTATTTCCTTAATGTAAATCTCTCCCTATATATATTTATACGCTTTACTGGCTTTGCTTCTCTAGAGAACCCAGCCTAAGACATGGGGCTTAGCTAGAGAGTAAAGAGGATTTGTCAGTAAAGGGGATTTGATAGGGTGGAGGCAGGGAATTAAGCACGTGAAATGACACTGCTGTTTGACAACTCTCTTCATGTCTCACAGCCTTGTTTTCTCCTGCTTCCTCTAGTCTTTTCCTTTTAGGCATGCTCACCATCCATATATTCCCTTTAGAAACCACTGTAAATTGCCTTTTAGGGAACAGAGAGCCTTGCTTCCTACCAGCCACGCTTCAGATGCTGTATTCTGATGAAATTTGGTAAGTGATTTTGAGTGCAGTTGTAGACAGAGATAGCTCAAATCTGATTCTGTATATAATACATTTCTCTACAGTTGGCTTAAGTACTACTAATGTAGAAAATGCTTGTTTGCTTAAACACATTCTACAAAATAGCAGTAGTAATTTAAAAAAAATTTTTTTTTGTACTTTAGGACAGTCAGACTGCATGCTGTATTAGGAATGCCAGTAAGCAATCTGCAACCATCAATTAAATGTAGTGTCTCTTGATTCTTTAAAGTTTTTTTCTTCAGTTGAGTGCAATTTTAGCATGGCAGTTTTATTAAAATCAACATTAAAATGGACTTCTAAGCTAATTAGTTCTGGAATATCAAATAGAAGAATTAGTCATTGAATATTTACTATTATATTCACTGCTAATAAATGGTGGTAAGTTGTTACATAGACAACTGGGATCTTATGACACATTCGTTATGACATGATTATGGTTCTGAGTACTATAGATCATCTCCATCCTAGCACTGGCTGTGATGATTCAGTTCTCCCTCCTCCTTTCCCTACCTTTGAAAACCTTTGTTCATGCAGGACATTATGACACCTTGGACTGTGACTAGGCACAGATGTGAGCTCAAACAAAATCTCAAATACGATCTCTGATATCATGTGGCTGGCTTTGGAGGTAAGGTGGTCTCCCTGATGACCAGAGTAGGCTCTTATTACATGGCTAGAGTATATAAAAATGAAAACACCAAGTTACAGTAATCTCATAGAGAGCTTGTGGAACCGAGACACAGACTTCCATGGACCCTCATTTACACATCACATTTGACAAATAGTGCACTATGCCCTGGCTTATGAAACCATGGAAGGCCTCTGTGGGTAGTGCCACCATTACTTTCACTTTCCAGGTGGTTGGCCTGGTCCACAAGGAGCCCTGGTGGTACAGTAGTTAAAGAGCTCAGCTGCTAACCAGAAGGTTGTCTGTTCAACCCCCCAGCCGCCCTGTGGAAGAAAGATGTGGCAATCTGCTTCCTTAAAGATTTACAGCCTTGGAA